GTCTGCTGGGATGCCTTTGTAGGATCTGCTTACAAGAATACTTGTATGTGCCTTGTGGTGTGTCTGCTCCTTGGGTATTGTATTTATCCAATGGTTTTATTCAAAGAGGGCCTTGCATTATGATCATGGTGCTCTAATGGCTGTTGGGGTAATGATGAAGAAGCAGGAGGAGGTTTATAAATCAAAGATCCACAGAAAGATAGAAGCAGAAGCATGCAGATCCTTGCACAGAAGGTGCTCAGGTACAGGTTCTTTTCCAGCAAGGAGAACAGTGAGATGCACAGCAGTGACGGCATCAAACCTCACTTCAAACTTTCTGAGGCTAGCAGCCAGAAGCAGCAGAGTCTTAGAAGGTCTCACACTGCAGAAATACAGATATACATCCATTATGCTATAGGCACAGGAGAGCCTAGACACAAGAAATGCTCTTCTATTTTTCTGGAGGAAAAGGCAAACAGTAACTTGTTCAGGTGACCACTTCTATACAATAATATTTCTAGATGTTCCTACTGAATAGCAAACCATCACTTGTTAGGTTCAGGTCCACTTAAAAACCTACTAAATGAAAATAGCATTAGACTGCAATTTAATCAACTTATAAACACAAGTTCCTGATATCACTGTCTGATCTTTACATTCATTGTGTAAAATACTGGATGCTGATGAATATTAGATTATCCTCCAAGTGCATGGAAAACATTATCATCAATACTATTTTTCATATTTACTCATTCAAACCAGCAATTGCGACTTAAAGTGGAAGTTAACTTAACTCTTTTAAAATTTGCTGACAGGCAGGGTATTTATGTCAGAAGAGATCCTACTGGTCCCTCCTTCCATAAATGCATCCTCCTGCCCAGTGGTGTATTTAAGTTTTGTGCTGCCCTAGGCAACACCAAAATTGGCCCCCCAACACCCCCCCCTTCCGCAGAAAGAGCCTAACACCAATCAACACCACCCCCCCCTGCAGAGAGAGCCTGTCACTGACCAAATTGACCCCTGCCCCCCCCACCCAAGAGAGCTTTCCACTACCAGTGCCTTCCCATACACTGGTCACCCCCGCCCCCCGTCGAGAGAGGGAAGACACTCACCTTCACAGCTCCGGACATCCCTGGAAATGAGAGTCGGGCTCTGCATACACCATCCCACCTGGTCCCCATGCCGCTTGTGTGGCTTCTTCCCTCCTTTCTTCCAGGGGGCAGTGCTGCCCCCCTGAAAAATGCCACCCTTGGCAAATACCTTGTTTGCCTTGTGGTAAATACACCCCTGCTCCTGCCTGTCAGCTGTCATGTTCACGGAGTCGTGCATATGCATCTCAGAAAACATTTACAAACCCAATCTGTGCTGTGACGATGTGACTCCCATGTGCATGCGGGGAAGTGATGTTGTTGCAACCCAACCTATCAACCGGCCGAAGGCAGGGAACCAGGAACAAAGACCTCGCGAAGATGGAATTGCCCAAGGCCCAATGGATCAATCGCACCCAGGAGCAGACTGAACATTTGGAAACTCGGGCACTGCCCGAGGGCCCTGGGTCTGTAGGGGGCCTCATGAGATGCCCCTGGTACCTTTTCATAGGCTTTTTTGGGTGTGATTTGATTTTGGGCGAGGACACAGGGGCCCCATGATCCCCTATTGCCCGGGGGCCCCATGAGTTGTCAGTCCGCCCCTGATCGCAGCGCTGGAGGGCACTGTTTGACAGGTAAGTCTGCCATAATGTACTTATATGCCGTGCATACTAGCACATTATGGCATAACCCACCTGGGGGCCCCTAAAAATAAAATGCTGTGGTGGAGCTTACTACTGATTATAGGCTGCCTGTAGACATGCATACTAGGCTAAACCACTTTGTGTATGTAACCCTTTAACTTTAGCCCTTCATCTTCTGTATCCAAAATGAGAGGCTAGTGTTTGGCTGATGTTGTCACAACCAGGGGCGGACTGTCAACTCATGGGGCCCCCAGGCAATAGGGGATCATGGGGCCCCTGTGTCCTTCCCCAAACTCAAAAAAGCCTATGAAAAAGGTACCAGGGGCATCTCATGGGGCCCCCTACTGACCCCGGGCCCTCGGGCAGTGCCTGAGTTTCCAAATGGTCAGTCCGCCCCTGGTCACAACCTTGGACTCAGCCAACCAGAGGAAGCTTTGTATTCATTAAAAGAATACACCACTTTCTATGACTGGCTGAGCGCTGCTCTGGCAGTCTCTATTGTGTTCTGGGGCTAAGACAGGAAAGTTTCGGCTTGCACTCAAACACAGTGCCGTATCTAGCCTCAGCCACATACAGTCCGTACAGCACATCCAGCGGCCTCACATGTTGGTGACGGACATGGTTTGTTTGGGCCAGCTTGTACTGTGTACCAAAAGTTGGATTTCAGCTTTAAAGGATAAGTTCACTTTTTGGGTAAAAATAATAAATGCGCATACAGTATTTTTGCAGTGAAAAAACAGGAAACCGTGAAGAAGGACGCAACTGCGCGGGCGGAGCCCCACATGGCTGCATTACTTTCATATTTTCAAACAGTGACAGCGGGGTGTAGGCATAAGATCCCCGGTTTGCTGTCACTCGGGGGGGGGGGGGGGTTTGTTGAAGAGCTGCAGCTGTTGAAATGTATTACACATTCTACTCTAAATACAGGTGGAACATGTAACATACATGTGCCAAAAGGTGAATTTATCCTTTAAACTGGTTGTACACCCTTACATATACCCAGTGGAGTGACTGGTCTGAAGCGATACACAGAAAAGAATCAAATCCTCCTACATAAGTTGTACCTGTCTATCTACAGCTCTCTATTCTCTACAGCTGTTCAAAACACATAATTTAGACAGCATATCTGAGCTTCAAAAGGCACGGAGCTGGGATCTAATGTCACATGCTGCACAGAGCTGAATGTAATCTGAGACATGAGTGGAGGGAATCGACAGACAACACTCTACACAGTCTCATAGGTAAATATGAACAGCTCAGGTTGTCAATCACCTGATGTATGCTGGAGGGGGAGGGCAGGGCCATCTTCCAGGATTGTCTGGTGTTGGTATTAGCTGTCAAAAATGACTCATACAGATAGAAGAGGAATGAGAGAGCAGACAGAAATCACACTTGGTGCTTTGGATCAAGGTAATACACACTATAGAGGGATAAGTTTTGTTCATTTTTCATTTCAGATGTTTACGACCACTTTAACTGCAACATAAACTTCACCTTCACTTCAAAAAAATCCCAAACCACAACCAAATGTATTCTAGATTGTCACAATTATATATAGTTATGGTGCTACTAATGGTTCAAATATTAAAATATAAAATAATAAAAGATTTGAAAGAACTATGCCTACATTAAATAATTCATTTGGGTCATTATTGCAAGTCTGCTGGGCAGCCATGTTGGCTGGTAAAACAAAAAGTACAAACTGGTCTGCTTAGTTTGAGATTAGTTATGAATGGGCTTGAGTTTAATCTCAAACTTTGTGTGTTCCTTCATTCACTTCTAGTACAAATAAAAGATTAAGAGTGCAATTTCATGTTCTTTACAGGTCACATCAGTAGAAGATGGTAAATTCTTACCTTTTGCATAATATTCATACACGGTGACTGATGCAGGCTGAATATAGCCTACTTCAAAATGCTGGTGAAGTTTGAACTTCAGACACATGTCCCCTTCATGTGCAATCTGTTTATAGAACAAAAGGCAAATTAATTGATGTACGTGCCACACAAAATAGCACATTCTACAATCATTATATATGTTTTGGCACAGTGTTTCATTATTAACCCAATCTGGGGGGGGGGGGGGGGGGGGGGGGGCTGCAGTTTGGTAGCTTTTCTCCGGGCCCTGGATCACCTTGTCCCAGCACCAGGGGCAAACTGACAACTCATGGGGCCCCTGGGCAATATGGGATCATGGGGCCCCTGTGTCCTTGACCAAACCCAAAAAAGCCTACGAAAAAGATACCAGGGGCATCTCATAGGGCTCCCTACTGACCCCGGGCCCTCGGGCAGTGCCCGAGTTTCCAAATGGTCAGTCCGCCCCTGCCTAGCACACATAACTTTGTTACAGGTGTAATTTGGTTTACAAATGCCTCGGTTAACGTAATTTTCCATTTAAGAATGAAAATCCATTGAAAATGATGCCTCTGTTTACAAATTTTTCCCAAATTTTTTTCGCAATACACTTCGTATGTCGGTGCCGATTTTTAAATGTAATTGCCGGCTTTTTTTTTTTTTCTTCACTATAGCTCACAGAATTAACTGTCACTTTCCCCAGAGCTAAAGGATACTTTGTTTCTTTTGTCTTGGGAAATAGACTAAAAGGAAACTTTCTTTCTTTTAGCTGGGGGGAAAGTAACAGCTGACTCTCTGAGCTATAGTGAAAAAAAAAACGGAATTACATTTAAAAAACGACACTGACCTATAGCAACAGCGACTTTTTTAAAACTTTTTTCTGACCTCCGGAATGGATTAATTTTTCAATGCATTCCTATGGGAAGCCGCGTTTCGGTTTACAAATTTTTTGCAATACAAAATGTCCCGGAGAACGCATTAATAAATCCGTAAACCGAGGTACACCTGTATATGCATGTTCATTTCACTACCACTTTCCATAACCCTATATACTGCGTTCGCTAAGAAACAAATCTTTGAAATGGTCTACACCCAATGTTGACACCACCAACCGTGGAAGGGAGTTCCACATCCTTACCAATCTAGCAGTAAAGAACGCTTTATGCAACTCAAGATTGAACTACTTCTCATCCAACTTCATTGTGTGGCCATGTGTTTTTTTAGAGACCTTATGTAAAATAGTTTCCTCCTAGAGTCATCATTTTAAGAATTGTGTATTGTAATTATACCGCTCCTAAGTGTCTCTTCAAAGAGAATAAGTTTAATGTTTGTAGCCGTTCTTCATAACTGAAGTCCTACAGCCCCCTTATTAAAGTGTTACTAAACCCAGATCCTGCATTCACTATAGCTGGTCTCCCCCGGACCCTGCATTCACTATATCTGCTCTCACAGGACCCTGCATTCACTATATCTGCTCTCACAGGACCCTGCATTCACTATATCTGCTCTCACAGGACCCTGCATTCACTATATCTGCTCTCACCGGACCCTGCATTCACTATAGCTGGTCTCCCCCGGACCTTACATTCACTATATCTGGTCTCCCCGGACCCTGCATTCACTATATCTGGTCTCCCCAGGACCCTACATTCACTATATCTGCTCTCACAGGACCCTGCATTCACTATATCTGGTCTCCCCAGGACCCTGCATTCACTATATCTGGTCCCCCCAGGACCCTGCATTCACTATATCTGGTCTCCCAGGACCCTGCATTCACTATATCTGGTCTTTCCGGACCCTGCATTCAGTATATCTGGTCTCCCCGGACCCTGCATTCACTATATCTGGTCTCCCACAGTACACAGAACATGGAAATGCAATGTTTAGAGTAAATATAAACTGCTAAATACCTTTTCTCATCAGCAGTATGTAGCAGTCTTGTGACTATCATCGTCCAGCACAGCACTGGTTAAAGCTTGTAGGAGGAGTTTTCTTTCTGCTCTAGGAGGATACAGAACCCCTGACCTCTGTCTGGATCATGCTGATTGACCCTGTGCTGATCACATGCACTCCCAAGAAAAAAAAACCTCTCTTGCAATAAACACCAAACTGAGCATGTGCAGAGTGTCTCCACATGTTATGTCTTATCAGGAGATAAGAGGGGGCACTGCAAGAAGGGGTGGGTTAAACCTTAGGTTCCACAGGGAATATAACAAGCATGCTTTACTGCATCTACAGACTGATTTTACTGTTGTGGGTTTAGTAACACTCTGAGCTTAGTTGCCCTTCTCTGGACTCTCTCCAGTTCCAGCAAATCCTTCCTGAGGACCGGTGAGCAGAACTTGACAGCATACTAAAGATGTGGCCGAACCAAAGTTTTGTAAAGTAGGAAGAATTATAGCTTTATCTCCTCAGTAAATACCCTTTTAATGCATACTAGTCTGCTTCCCTTGCTTTCTCCAACTTGGAATTGCATTTTATTGCTCAGTTTTTCATTTAGGACATCCAGATCTTTTTCCATCCACAATTTCCCTGGAGGTTCCCCCTCCCTAGTGCATAACTTGCATATATTTAGCTCCCAAGTGCATTACTTTATATTTTTCAATAGTAAACTTCATTTACAATGTAGTTGTCTATCACTTTTTTTTTTTATCTAGATCTTCTTGTAAAGGTTCTATATCCTGTTGTGACTTTATTACCCTGTCTAGTTTTGTCATCATCATCAAGCAGTAAAATTGAACTGTTTATTCCAACCTCTATATTATTTCTGAACAAGTTAAACAGAATTGGTTCAGGGCAGAGCCTTGGGACACCCTGCTTACAACTCCAGAACATTTAGAAAATGTGTCTTTAATAACAACCACAACCAGTTTTCTATCCAGCTACATACGATATCATCAATGCCATAATACCATATTTTTGTAAATTAAGCATTTATAGGGTATTGTATTAATTGACTTGGAGAAATCTATATAAACTATGTCCACAGACCTTCTCCTATTCAAATTACAGCTCACTTCCTCATAGAATGTCAAAATATTGGTCTGACACAACCGTTTTTTTTTTGTAAATCCACGTTAGTTCCTACTAATGATACTATTTTATTTTATTTTCCAATAGTTTTTTGTTTTGTTTTGTTTTTTTTTTTTTTCGTTTTTTAGGCTAACATAGTCACATTGCCAAAGTTATGTATTCCTAGACAAATACGATAAGGGAAAAGAAAATGGAAAAGGCAGAAAAAAATGTGGAGAAGAAAAGAGCAGGAAAAGAAAGAGAAAAGAAAGAAAAAAGAAACATTAATTGTACCAATGCCCAGCGTTTAGGATTATTCAATGGACACCTGAGAGGTAGTGCATATATGGTTATCATGTTTTATCAAATAAATATCAAACAAACAAATGATTGCAAATCATTTCAAAAACAAGACTGATGCAATTTGTAGGGGCATCTCCACTGCACAGACATCCATCCCACTTAGCATACCTTATACTAAACCTCCCTCAACACTTTCCTCTTTTGACCTTGCTACTACCCAAGAGGTCACTAAGGTTTTCTCAGAAGCCCGTCTCACTACCTGCCCCCTGGATCGTGTCCCCTCACAACTACTACGGTCACCCTCTTCTTCCATCCTATGCTCCCTCACTCACATCTTCAATCTCTCCCTCTCTACTGGTGCCTTCCCCTCCCCTCTAAAGCATGCACACATCACTCCTATACTTAAAAAGCCCACCCTGGATCCCACCAACATGAACAAGTAAAGACCCATCTCCCTGCTGCCATTTACCTCTAAACTCCTAGAACGCTTAGTCTACAATCGCATGAGTTCCTACCTCACTGACAACAACCTTCTTGACCCTTTACAGTCTGGCTTTCGCTCACTACACTCCACTGAAACTGCCCTACTAAAACTCACGAATGACCTACTAACTGCTAAAACCAATGGCCACTACTTCCTACTCTTCCTACTCTCTGCGGCTTTTGATATGGTTGACCATACCCTCCTCCTCAAAAAAATCAAGTTACTTACGGTAACGTCTTTTCCGGGAGTCTTTCAGGCCAGCACCTTGAGACCTCGGCTCCTCCCCATCTGAGGAAACACCTCCACCCTAAAACAAAAGACCTCCACTCCCCTCCGACCTCAGTTCTCCAAACATCCTCCAGTCACCTGGGGGAGACACAACATGAGACAACGTAATCATCACAAATCATGCTCACATAATCCATATCAACACTGGGTGGGAAACCGGTGCTGGCCTGAAAGACTCCCGGAAAAGACGTTACCGTAAGTAACTTGATTTTTCCCCTTACGTCTTTCAGGCCAGCACCTTGAGAGGATAAGCGAGTACTCACCCGTCGGGCGGGCTAATTGCTTGCAAGACCTTACGACCAAAGGCCTGCTCCTGCACCGAGGCCAGGTCCAACCTGTAATGTTTGGCAAATGTGTCATAACTGGACCATGTTGCCGCTCTGCAGATCTGCCCCGGAGACGCCCCTTCAAATTCAGCCTGAGTAGCTGCCACCGCTCGGGTGGAGTGCGCCCTGATACCTTCCGGAACCTCCAGGCCTTCCGCCTGGTATGCTCCAGAAATTGCCAACTTCAACCAACCTGCCAGCGTCCTTCTGGACGCCTTTTTTCCTTTCCTAGTTCCCTTGAAAAAAACAAAAAGGATTCGGTGCTCCTAAACTCCCTAGTCCTTTCTAGATATTGGAGTACGCACCTTCTGACATCTAATAAATGAAATTTTTCCTGATCACCCCCAACCGAGTCAGGAAAAAATGAGGGAAGGACTATGTCCTGTTCCCTCTGGAATCTCTGTGCCACCTTCGGGATGAAGGATGGGTCCGTTCGAAAAACTACCCTGTCCAGAAAAACACGGAGATAGGGCGACCTGATAGATAATGCTTCCAGCTCACACACACCCTCCTTGCCGTGGTGACCGCTACCAAGAAGGCAGTCTTGACGGTGAGTTCGCCAATCGAGCAGGACTCCAGGGGCTCGAATGGCGTCCTCGTCATCACACCAAGTACCTTGGCCAAATCCCACATCGGGAACGGACTGGCCCTTGGACGGTTAACCTCAACTTCCTCACGTTGGGGCAAAGGACCGGTCCCTGTGACAACAAATCCTCCCTTGGTGGCAGCTCCCAGGGTGGACGGGAGGCTAAACTCCTCAGTGTCGCGAACCAAGCCCTCTGTGGGCAGAAGGGAGCTATCAGAATCAATGAGGTTCCCTCTGTTCTGAATTTCCTCAAAACTAGGGGAAGCAAGGGAACCGGGGGGGAAGGCGTAACACAGCCGGTAGTCCCACTTTTGACTCAGCGCGTCCACCGCCCTTGATCCGTCCCCGCGGGACAGGGAAAAGAAGGCCGGGACCTTGTTGTTCCTTCCTGAGGCAAAAAGGTCCACGTCCAGGGAACCCCACCTCAGTACAATTTCCTGAAACACCTCGGGGTTCAGGGCCCATTCTGATTCCCTGAGCCGTGTTCTGCTCAGAAAATCCGCTTCCTTCCGGCTTAGCTCTCCTCTCAAATGTACTGCAGACAGGGATGCCAAGGTCACCTCTGCCCAGGACAAGAGCGTTGCTGCTAAGGCTCCAAGGGCCCTGCTCCTTGTCCCCCCTTGCCTGTTTACATACGCCACTGTCGTGGCATTGTCCGATAGGACTCGCACATGGTGGCCCCTGATTCTCACCTGGAAGGCCTGAAGAGCCTCTGCCACTGCCCTCAGATCCCTCCAGTTCGAGGACCTGTTCCTCTGCTCCCAGGACCATTCCCCTTGTGCCACTAATCCTCCCAGGTGGGCGCCCCATCCTTTGGAGCTGGCATCCGTCGTGACCTCCCTGGACACTGGGAAGCACCATAATAACCCCTGGGTTACACTGGACGCCCTTCTCCACCACCACAGCGACCTCTTTACACTGGGGGGAACCAGTACCCGGTCCTCTAAGGAGTGAGCACTCCCGTCCCAAACTCTCAGGACCCATAACTGGAGGGGACGCATATGTAGACCCAGCCCATTGCACTGCCGGGATGGAAGCCGTCAGTAGACCCAGCACTGACATGACCTGCCTTATCGCTATTGGCCCATTTCCCTGCACCAGTCTGATCCCTGCTTCTAATTTGGACACCTTCTCTGAAGTCAGGCTGACCCTCTGACTCACCGAATCCAGAGTGTAACCCAGATAAACCATCCTCTGAGAAGGCACCAGACAAGATTTCTCTAGATTTACCATCCACCCAAGGTTTTCTAGATGGCCCCACTATACCCAGATTCCGCAGAAGGTGAGTCTCTGAATCTGCGAAGAGCAGCAAGTCGTCCAGATAGGCTATCACTGGAATTCCCATCAAACGAATAGGAACCAGTGCCTCCATCAGAACCTTGGTAAAAATTCTCGGAGAGGAGGACAGACCAAATGGAAGAGCCCTGAACTGCCAGTGTTGCACTCCTCCCTCTCCCTCCACTGCCAACCTGAGGAACCGCTGAGAAGTTTCCGCAATGGGCACGTGCAGGTATGCGTCCTGCAGGTCTATGGATGCCATAAAAGACCCTGGCGGGATCAGGGACCTGACTGTAAATATAGACTCCATGCGGGACCTCCGGTAACGCACAGACCTGTTGAGGGGTTTTAGGTTCAAAATCAGCCGGAATGCTCCAGACGGCTTTTGAACCAGAAATACATGGGAGTACACTCCCTTCCTTTGTTCCCTTTCTGGGACCCTGACTATGACCCTTCAGTCTTCTAGATCCTCTAAGGCAGTGGTCGGCAAG